CCCCCCCCCCTCGCCCCTTTGACCTAGTCACAACGAGTCGAATATTTTTTGGGGGATTGAGGGGGTGCCCCTGAACATTTTTTAGTTGAATAATATAGTTACGTTGCCACCCTTATAATCAAAATATTTTTTTGAGTAAAAAAACCAAAAATGTATGGTTTCACCCTTTACGCCGCTCCGAACGAGTCAAATATTTCTGTTCCGGGGCACCCCCTCAACCCCCCCTCCAAAATTCGACTCCCCCTCACCGCCACCGACCCATTTTTCCCGCCGTTTCCCCAACGCTAACCCTCTTCTCATACCTTTTCATCCCCCCTTCGCCCCCAACGACCATCTGACATCATTGCATGTCAGATGGTCGTTTCATCACGGGAGAGTGAGACAGTCATAAAAATGACCGTCTCCCTCCCACTTATGCGCTGTGACCACTGATCTCTATACTAACTAGATAGACTATCCTGTAAGACCCTGGGGGGACGAATTGAACGCTCACCCAGCGCCTCCGCAGAGTGGTCAGGAACTAAGCGTTCCACTATTGCGCTTGCGTGACCATAAGTCACATAGTGGGGAGGAGAGTAATTTGNCGCTCACCCAGCGCCTCCGCAGAGTGGTCAGGAACTAAGCGTTCCACTATTGCGCTTGCGTGACCGTGAGTCACATAGTGGGGGGGAGAGTAATTTCACCTGGTAAAGTCAGGAAATTTTACGGTCATTTTCGCGTTATCTTACTATGTAGAATTCAGAGTTACCAGTTGAAAGGACGACGACAACAAAATAATTTTTTTAAAAGAAAATTACCCGTTTTATCAATGATTTTGAATTAATTTATTTAATTGATTTATTTTATTCACCTCATTACTAGCAAAGTCCTTTTAAGTACAAATTATTCCCTCACAGTTCTGAATAAAATTTACATTCACAAATTTACACAAAATCAGCAGCTGATGCTCATTGCTCCAAAAATATTTAATTCTTCTGATATTTGCTCGAATGATGTTGTGAAAGCTGTAAATAAAAAAAATCCGAATTGTGAAAACATTTTTATTCAATGATAGAATTGGTGTAAGAGTAAGTGCTGAGAAGCATATCACAGAAGCAATTGATTAGAAAATAGCGAAAAACAAAGCATTCTATCATATTAACCATCAAGGTCTACTGCACATTTTTTTCAGTTATATAAAACTTTAATATCACACTTTTACGTAGTTCAATGTCTCACTATAGTTTTGAACGTAACAATCACATTTTTTAAATCTCCTTAAAAAGACATCAACTCTTTAAAATTATGCTATAAACTATCAACAATCAAGTCAAGCCACTAATAATTTCACGAAAAAAATACAGTCCTTATAGATCTGAGCTCACTGATGAGCCTAAACAACCTGTCTTGTGAGAAAATGACGTAGGTTTGTGCCAGTGATTGACAGTGCCAGACTTTTGGTGGCAGCGAACATTCGATTCTCAATGTAATTCATCAAAATATGTTTGATGAGGATGTCCACGTGGTTAATACAGGAATCCATGAGGAAAGTATCCCTGAAATGTTCCCCCAGTTCAGGAAAGAGTTCCTTCTTTAATGATAATAACTCTTTATATGCTGAATTAACGAGAATAGCTGGAAAATTCGTTTCCACGGGTGGCTTTTCCGTGTTGGAATTGCATGCTTTACGAAAGAGTCTTTCGGCAGTAGAACAAATAGTTATCACGCTTTCTGATGGAATCACTAAGCCACCACGAGTTTTGAACATAATTAGAGAACCCACTTTGAGGGTTTAGAGAACACTTCTCGCTTGGAGCGAAAGACAATTCTCTGCAACCACCAAGGCACTGATCGCATTTTAATGTCTTTGGTAGATACCGAACCACATACCCCGCGATATAACCCACTGCATTAAGAGAAAATTCACTGAGAAAATGAGGGGTAGCCCAGGCAAAGTTAAGAAATTCATCTAAATCTAAATTTTAATTATTAATGAATTCAGCATAGAGTCAAGTGCGTATCGATACTTACTTATGGAAAGACAATTCTTTCCATTCAGTGGATGTTTTTCTACAATACTCGCAACGAACCATTTCTGTAATATCTACAGATACGAGACATAAATTTTCTCACAACCTCACTGACACTGAAACACTTTCCAAGGATATTTGAGGGTTATGCGAGCAGAAAAATGATACCGTCAAATTACCATCCTCACTATCCAGCGCCGTGGACGCGCAAGCGCATCGGGACCTCTGTTAGTTCCTCGACCAACAAAGGGAGGCGCTGGAGGACTATTCGAAACCCCTGGCTTTCAACATGCTGAACCCATAAGGATAGTCTATCCAGTTAGTATACAGATCAGTGGCTGTGACATATGAGTGTATGAGACGCACCCGGGGGCCCATTCTGCTACGTACGATTCTGAGGCAAACTCTACATCAACTCGGCTTGTTTCCGAGTTGATGGTGGCGACATCTGCCTGATTTCAGTGTAGCTAAAATCTCCCGAAATTGACAGGTGATCACCTCAGTTACGTGGATACTTCTAGCGGGCGGAAAAATGCAAAAAAAAATCCAATATTTTGATCAAATGGTTCAATGGTTTTGGTTTTGGTCAGAATATCCGACGCATCGGCAATTATGTCTCAAGTATATGTTGCTTCCATGCGAAATATAATTAGTGTTTGTTGTAGGGGCAGAATTGAGCCATATTGTGTTGTGAACTAGAAAAATTGGTGAATTTTGGGGTGCATTATATCCTCATTATTACATGCTAATCATTTTTATTCGCCCCCGAAACCTAATTGCCGACACGTGACAAGTTATGTCCTTTCCTTTGACCCCGAAATTAAAATTTTACATTCATTTTTCCGTCCGCTATTAGTATCCCCGTAAACGGGTATAATGAGCATGGATTCTGGGAAATTCTGGAGAATCTAGGGGTATTAATAAAAAAAAAATCTGCAGGCCGGGCCTTAAACTGAATTCCTAGTACGGTACCATCACACACCTGTCATTTTTTCTAATCACTACTTATACTTACATCTTATGTTGTGAAGACAATGATTGGTAACATCTGAATACCGTTTTGAGAACAGTCAATGCTTTAATCCCTCGAATATCAAAATTGACGTCCCTCGATGTTTAATATTTATTTACTCCTTACTGATTAAATTCACTCACTTTTCTTTATAACCCCCGCCACTTCACTTCCACTAACGTTCACTCAGTAACCTGACTGCAGGCGATGAACGGAAAAATTAATGGACAACGGAATAAAAAATCATTGCATCAATCAATAGCGCATTGATTATCTTTTAGTTTGAGCAATGAACACTCATTGCACACAGTTAACCATTTGTTTCAATGGTGTCATGGAGGATTCCATTGTGTACTACGATGTAATTTTATCTAGGATTTCCACCTGCGAGACATTGTGTTCAGTTGAAGATGGGAAAACTGAGCAATAATTTTCTATGCACAAAAAAAAAGTGTGGTTATCGTTGGTGTCGAACTTTTCGGGAATCAGGGATTGAACAGTATGAAAGTGTCACTATTTTAATAGTTACAAATCACTGATTGAAATGGTCCAAATGATTGAATTGACTGTACAACCGAAAAATTTCAAGTGTTTTTGGTGAATACGAAGGCGTTTGGCACCATCACTTGACCAAATGGCTTTGTTCTCACCTGAATTTGGCTGATGGTGAGCGAGCTCGAAACTGCAACCATAGACATAAGTTCCCGCAGTACTTGAAGTTGGCTAGTAGTTGGAGTTGCACGGAGTGTAGGGGCCGAGAAATGATTGAGCGGTTTGCACTGGGGATGTGAAATGACCGTAATTTTTCAATTCGGTCAGGTCAGGCAAAATTAACCGATTTCTCACCATTTTCTGACACCGAGATAATTCCCCAAGCCAAATGACCGTCATGAACAACCAGCGTCAAAAATTTAAAAAAATGACCAAAATTCCTCTATATAGATGGAAATGGGCGGTCATTTTCTTTTTGGTAATTTTTTTGGTCAGATTGTTGGTTACTTCATTTCATTAGTTAGGAATTGAATCACATTTCATAATTTAAAGTTAACGTTTATTGGAACAAATTACAAAACAATCATAAACTCGATACTCGAATTCACTTATGATAGACTCATGAACTTAATAAACGTCAACAAAACTAATTAAATATATATCTCTGTATATATTATGTTTGTGGTCAAAAACTTCATATTAAATTAGGAGGATACTGGGTGAGGCTCGTCTTCAGTCATTCTCTCCAAAATTGTCAATTGCCACCGGCTCCCTCATCTAGCTCGCTCAGCTCTTCATCTGAATTGCTTGCTGAACGAATTTTTTGTTATATAGTATCGCATAGACTTCTAGCAGAGATTATAGGGGAGATGAGCAGAGCCAACGTAAAGTGTTCAACAGCAAGAAACGTAGCGGTGGCGCATGGACTACGATGGAGCGTACGGAACTGTTGGTATGGTAAGGCTCGAGCATAAATTTGTCGATAACCGGAAAGGGGTTCTCAATACGGTAGCTCCCCGCATTTTGTAATAATTGTCAGGAATGTAAAATCGAACATATTATAATCAATAGTATAATGAATGCAGAATCTAATGATCTAAAAGTCTTTTCCTTTTTCTTGACATATTTATTATTGACACGTAGGTCAAAAAATTCATAGAAAATCCCAGCGCTGTCGCTGGAAAACTCTGTAGTTTTCCAGTGATTCTATTGAATAATTGTGCAGATTTTGTTTTTTTTTTTACTATAGTAATGTTCGATTATATATATTTATTCCCCCCCTGAGTGAGAAAGAAATATGTAACGCGCTCGCTCCCACTCATTGTCGTCTCCGTCGCTTTGGCACGTGCCCGTCCTCGGCCAAAATTAACGAGTGCAAGTGAGAAACAAAATGGAGAAGAAGGAGAGAGAAAGCATTCAAACTCGTTTGAACGGTTGGAACGTTTTCGTTGTTCTCCAGCGATCTACACATAATGGGATTAATTCAATAATGATAGATTAATGAATAAGATTTTTCGCAGATTATTGCGAGATTTAGATGAATGGTTTGCCTCCTTCAGTGACCATAAAAAATTGTCTCCAATCGACAATATCCCCCGATGGAATGGAACGATGTGAATGAGTCAAGTATCAATTTGAATCTTTAAAAAATTAATCGAGAGTGAAAAAAAATCCGGGAATTCCACTCTGACATTTCTCTATTGTCTGTATTTACCAAGAAAAAAAAACGTTTTTCCTAGGAATCGGTGTCTTTTTTAGGCAGCTAAATTTGTGAAATGCAATGAGCAAGCAATGTTAAAATTAAGTCATTTTGTAAAAAATTTCTAGTGACATGATCCTGAAAATCAAAGGAAAGTCTTGAATTCAGGAATGATGTCTGTAGGTTTCAGTAATATTTTCGCGGAAATTCCGGGAACAATTATTGGGAATTTTTATCGCGTTGCCGTAATACGGAAATTTCAAGGAATTTCGTCATTGCAAATTAAAAATTTCTATAAATTTCAGTCCAATTATATGTGTAAGTCCACGTGAAAAGGGCCCATTTTATCGCATCTAATTTCCGAGATATTCACGTTTTTCTCTCCACTCCATTTATCCCATTGTTAAATTGATTTTTTGATCTTTTATACGGACGTCACACGGAGAAAAATAAATCGGTAAAAGTCGTGCGATCGCAAGGAGTTTCCCGAAGATCCCCATTTTTCATGCACGAAGAACAATGAAGCTTTTTGGAATCTTCGGGAAATTCTATTCTATTCTACTCAAGTAGGAGCGGAGGAATGAATTGTCAAAAGCGCGGAGTAACCCCGAACGGTCCCCCCGCCCCCGACCGCCTTATTGCGAAGAGGGAATGAACGCAACATCTATCGATCGAGAAAAATATTCTCAATAAATGACAGTGGTTTCATTCCCTTAGTCTCTATTAGGAGAGAAGGAATGAATTTTCAAAACGCGCAGTAACTCCGAACAAGTTCTTCTCATTCAAAAATTAATTTCTCCCCTCCCTAATTTAGATGAAGGAATGAAACCAAAGTCTACAGATTGAGAATTGCATTTTTAATAAATGACATCGGTTTCATTTCGTAATCTCAGTTAGGAGCGGAGGAATGAATTTTCAAAAGCGCGGAAAAACCCCGAACGGTTCTCCGACGTCGAGTGAGCTCGGAGGAACTCCCCCGATTGGAAAATTCATTTCTTCCACGCTAATTGAGATGAAGGATTGACGCTGATGCCGATCGATCGAGAATTAAATTCTCAATAAATGACAACGGTTTCATTCCTTAATCTCAAGTAGGAGCGGAGGAATGAATTTTCGAATGCGCGGAGAAATCCCGAATGGCTCTCCGGCGTCGAGTGAGTCCGGAGGGGTTCCCCTGATTGGAAGATTCATTTCTCCCCCCCCCCCAAATTGCGGAGAGGGAACGGAAGCAACATCTATCGATCGAGAATAATATTCTCAATAAATGACAGTGGTTTCATTTCTTAATCTCTATTAGGAGAGGAGGAATGAATTTTCAAAGCGCGCAGTAACTCCGAACAAGTTCTTCTCATTCAAAAATTAATTTCTCCCCTCCCTAATTGAGATGAAGTAATGAAACCAAAGCTTACCGATTGAGAATTATATTTTTAATAAATGACATCGGTGTCATTTCTTAATCTCAGTTAGGAACGGAGGAATAAATGTTCAAAAGCGCGGAGAAACCCCGAACGGCTTTCCGACGTCGAGTGAGCCCGGAGGGGCTTTCCCGATTAGAAAATTCATTTCTCCCCCCCTAATGAAGATGAAGGAATGAAACCGATGCCGATCGATAGAGAATTAAATTCTCAATAAATGACGGCGGTTTCATTCCTTAATCTCAAGTAGGAGCGGAGGAATGAATTTTCAAAAGCGCGGAGAAACCCCGAACGGCTTTCCGACGTCGAGTGAGCCCGGAGGGGCTCTCCCGATCGGAAAATTCATTTATCCCACCCTAATTAAGATGAAAGAATGAAACCGATGCCGATCGATAGAGAATTAAATTCTCAATAAATGACAGCGGTTTCATTACTTAATCTCAAGTAGGAGCGGAGGAATGAATTTTCAAAAGCGCGGAAACCCGAACGGCTCTCCGGCGTCGAGTGAGTCCGGAGTAGTCCAATGAACGAAGGTCTAACGTACGAA